TTAAGATAGAAAGGGTACTTACAAAGGACGGCTTACGTGTAACGTGAAGGGAATTTCAGGGCTAGATGAAGAAGTTTTTCAGTTGATCTTCTATGCGCATTCTTCTTCATTAAAATCCGTCACACAAAAGCTACATGTAACAGAAAAAATTAACTAATTCTGTGATACAGCTATTTTCATACATTAACTCTTTTTTGACATTGAATTAGACCAATATTATTAATTTTATCGGACACTTCGGCGTTTTTAGAGCATAAGTCTATTTGAGTAACTTTCTGCTGATTGTGTTAGCTTTGTTTCTAATAAAACGGTAGATTAGTCTGTTCCCATGCTGTATCTGCCAGTTCGGACTATAACGACTTGAATTTATTGAATCGGCCTAACATTTAACAACAAAAATACTCTCCCTAGCCGGTTAAGATATAGTTTTTGCTCGGTAAGTAGCAAAATAAGTAGAAAATAACGACTCATTAATCATAATCGAAAACCATACGGAAATCTAAACTACCATAGGTTGGACCTCTAAAATGTTGCATTTAAAGCTGTTGTCCTTCAGCTTATTAGGTCCACACGGAATATTAGATCCTTTGAACGAATTAAGTTATGTTTCATATGTTTCCTACCTCTTTAGTAGGTCGTGCATGGCCTCAGACCTATTGATGAGGGCTATCTTGAATTCGCTAAGTTTTTCAATATCCCGAAGAAAGGCCAAATTAAACTTTTTTGAAGTTTTTCGCTCTGTCAGTTATTGCTTCTTCAGTTTCTGTTTCAACTTGGTGACAGACAAGTGATGATCTGGGGTTTTATCAGCCCCTCTCTTGGCTCATACTTCTTCCATATTCCTGAGTTTTTTTAGTGTACATATGGTCAGTTCGGTTCTGTGTAGTGTGGTCCAATAAAACCCGTATGGCCTTACGCATGCGTTTGTGTAGGAATATTTTGCCACCTATGACCACTGTATTGAAGGCGCATAGGTGTGAAAATCTCCCATCGTTTGTTTTCCTTTCTCTCAGTCCATGTTGTACGATGATGTCCATTCCAACCTTGGCGCCTGGGTCTCCGATCAGGATAGTTAAATCCTTTGTTAACCTCTCATAGAATTGATCTTCCCCGCTTTCATTTTTATCGTTGATGGTCACAAATCATGGAATGGTATTCATTGTAGTGCTCTCTTTCTTTGATGACCCTGCGTCTATGAGATTCGTATCCTATCAGTGCTTTTAGTGCTTCGTTGGACAGCATCGATGCAACTCAGTGTGTGTGAGTCATCTTATTCTTCATGGCCAGAGTATAAAATTGTCTATCCAATGTGTTTCCCTGATTCCAATTACCACCAGATCGTATTTTCACATTTCTGCTGAAACCTGAATGACTATTTAGGGCGAGCTCGTTTTGTTAACAGGAATTAAAGGACGACCCTTTATTAGGCAGTCGGTCACATTTTGATGTTGCTCCTAATTTGCAAGCTGATAAGAAGTGCCCCGAACCAGCTTATAAGGATGTCACTAATATTCAGGTATTAATATGGTTTCATCCGTAACAACATCTAGTACCACAAACGTAGTTAAACTGGAAGTCAGGGATCAAGCAGTTAGAAAGCTTATTGGGGCGACTAGTTGGCTTGAAGAGACATATATTAGCTGAGCTGGTCAGCTGATGCAAATAATCTGTAGTATTGTGTGCACAATGCTGACTGATCAGGTAGGGATATATTGTGAAGTGTCCTAAAATAGAGTGTACCTAGTAAAGGTAATGAGGTTAGCAACAGTGTTGAGAACCTACGGAATTCATTATTTTGGGAATTTATTTACATTATGGTTATGATGTCACTTCCAGCTCTAAGCTTCTTCCTTTCCTTATTGGGGAGGTTTGTTAGAGCTTGCTTAGATATTTTGGCAGCTGCTATGTTATTTCTAAGATTCTTGGAGCAATAATTACTCTGTGCATGAAGGAACCTGTTCCACTCTTTTTTATTTGGTTCTGTATTATCTGCTTGCCTTATTTACGTCTTTATCCTTGTTATTTACCTGAGAGAATAGAACACTGACAAGAAACGTTAAATTAATATCTCTCTAAAATACTGTAACTGGCACATATAACTCGAGGTGAAAAACATTGTAGGGGCTGACGCAGCAGAAAATCTGATCTCTTAAAAATCTAAAGCTATCATTTATTGTTTCGGTGAACACTATTAGTCAATTTTCAATTCGATCTTATCGAACTACACCTGCTTGATATAAACGTTTCGCAACATATATGAAGTCGAACATACTGAAATATTCTATCCTGTGAATTCGATTTCGCTTTAAACGGATCCTAATAAATATTGAAGACTGAATTTGTGATTGATTTTATAATAACCCTGGGTTAGATGCTCACTTCACAGAGACTAGATCAAATTAAGCCATATACAGTATTCACGTTCAAAACCAAGTACCGGAGTAAGTGATCGGTAGCACAATATTCCACAAAACTGCAGTCAGCTATGATCAGTCATTTTAAAGTACAAATCGATAAAAGCCAAGGAAGCCATTTTTAATAACCCGTTTCTTCTCATCAGATGGCAATCGTAATTTACTTTCATTGCTACGCATCGATATAAGTAGCCATTATCCTCATTCTCAGATAGATAGATTACTCAGATCATTGTAAGGACAGTACACGCGTAGAACCAAGACACCAAGATCTAGTTGTATGAACAAAATATATGAGTTTCTGCATGCAACGCAAAGCCTGACTCGGTCACTCACTGTTTAAAGTAATGTAAAAAGACAATTTTACTTGTGAACATTCACAAAATTTTGTATCATTAAAAGGTCGCGAAATACTTAGATGCTATCATACACCTAGAAGTTTCTGTAACATAAATTACTGTTCAGAGTAAGACGGTGGAACTAAAAATAACTAAGATGTAGGTAACAGCTCAACCTATGCTGGGCATGTAAGCCGTGGTAAACAGGAGTAATTGTATTCCTTATACGAACTAGTAATACAAAATACTATTAATAACCAATTGGTACTCTAGTAGCTACATGTTGACCAGCAACGAATTCAGGAATAACTACGTGAACACAAACGAAAGTCTTGTATTTCCCATTCGAAATGGACGCGAAATAATGTACAACTGAATCATGTTTGTACACAGCCATCACAGAAAAATAGCAGGTCAACTTACTTTACGCCAAGGCAACTTGGTGCAGTCCTCAGATATTGTTTCTCACATCGCTCAAAAGGTACTAATAACCTCACTCCAAATTCCACAATATTCTCCTCCTTCCAAATCCCAAGATATGGACGATAGGTCTTGAACAAACCGTACAAATAGGTACATTTTTCGTGGAGGCGATGATTTGATAACGGTACACCACATAGCAGGTATACCGACTCGCCTCAGAAGGAACAATTTACCATGCACTTACAGATAACCTCGAAGAAATGCACATCACAGAGGAAAATCCAGACACTCCCACTTTTCCTAAGTGAGAGTTACTCCCGTTCGGGATACTCTTGTAGTTAAAGTGACCATATCCACCCCAGTAGGCAGCTTTAGGAGGAGACTTGAGTAGCTTGGACAAGCTATAACGGATGTATTTCTCGTAACTTACTGTTATCATGATCACACCATTACATTCCTCTTGTCACTCTATATTCTCCGTTTACAAATTCACTTTCATATTTCGGCCTATTCGTACTGGCTAAATTACTAGAAAGTCAACCAATCCATTTATTTGCCTCTCAAAACAGTCGCCTTCCATAGCATTCCAATTCCTTCTTTACAGTTTTCATTATTTGAACCAAACGACCTGCTTATGTGATAGCTGTTAATTCATTCACTTGAAGTAGATGTAAAAACACATATGTAGTTATGAAATTGACTGAAAGTAGCTAGACCAATACTCATCAGACAATATCAAAGCAATGAAACCGTACCGAAATAATATAAGGTGGTGCGAAGAAATCAGACGTTTTACACGATCTCATCACAAGAATGTCAGATTTTCAAACAAGAAGTGTAGTGAAATGAAATATTCTCAGAGCTACTGAAGAATATGTAATCAATGGATTATGAATAACGCTTTACATAAAATCATCGGACGTTACCTAAACTGTCAATGGAAAGCGAGTCAGAGTCTTTAGTTAGATAATCCTAAGTTATAAGAAGTCAGTAATCGCAAATACGATATACGTAATCTGCAGTAATGGATATCCAGAATAATCACGTAATGACGGTGTCTGTAAATGTTGATAAAGATTATTTCAGCGATCTGTATTTGAGACAAATGATTGGTGAGATCGAGAATTTTGTGTGTAGCGGTGCATGTGTGAACAACGATCAGTTTGCCATAAAGGCAGAGAACGAAACAGTGACCGCTGGCCATCGTTGATTTCCAAGAAATTTCACAACCAATAACGGTAACTGAATGACACTACGCTTATTCCGCACCCAAAGGAAGAAACATTTTGTTTAGGCGGGAGCCGAAGCTTATGAAGTGAGAAATAGATTCAAGCTGCTCGTTTCATCAGATAATGTCATAAAAATAAGAGATACGATATGGAAATTCTATCTCAGTGGGTTTCCGATTGTATACTGTAGGCATTTTTGAACGGTTTGTTAGGTAGATCGGATGAGTACTCAGTGATTGAATATAATCCATTAGTTAGAAAATTCATGTGGATCGTGTCCAGTGGCTTATCACGTAGCTAAAGTCTCTTTGGTTGTGTCAAGTGTAACAACTGATTGAAACAGAAAATACGGAGTAGATGCACCACTACAATTAAGCATCAGCAATGTAGGAGGTCTTAGTGAAGAGAACCTTAAGTCTATTTTTGTGAGTTTGCGGTTATTTAATTGATTAAGGATACTTCGAATTGTAGATGGGATGTATCTACCCAATTAAATCAATAAAATGCTTTTAAAACTCCTAGGAGTCTTCAAAATGTCCTTTTGAGGCACTCTTGTTTTAATACATGAATGTGATAATCAAGTCAATTATTTGACCCGGGTTTTTCCTTAACCGGTCATGAAATGAAATTTGTTTTTTTCTGTAAGTCTAGTTGTTTAATTAATTTGTAAGGATTCGTGATGTCTCAGGACATAGGTTTCATGGTTTTGGAACGCATTTCCAGATTTGTCATTCCTTCATTTTACGGTGCTGATAAAAGACTCATTTTGCTCCTTTAATACGAATAATATGAATAAAAATAGACGTTCTTACAGTTGTCCGACCTTCGTTTCACAAACCAACAGGACGCTTAGACGGGAGGTTTCAAATAACAAGCGTCTGCTCAAAAGGATCCAAAGGTAACTCTTTTTACCATAGTTTTATTTCTAGGCATTACCACCGTCGGTTACCAAGACTTCTAGGAAAGCCAATCAAGCTCAGTGATTTATTTGTGGCTGTAGTATCCCGTGGAGGTTATAAGACAGTGTGTGATCGTAGGTGGTGGATGGACGTAGCTCGGGAACTAAACTTACCTAATGATTGTGCCAATGCAAGTGTTGGACTGAGAAGGATCTATTATCAGTTCTTAAGTCATTTTGAATTCAAAGAATATCCTTCTCTCTCTGAACAGTTCCTAGTTCAGACGCTTGTTGAACCCGATGCCATTCCTGAAGACGTCACTTTACCACTTTCTTCCGTAGAGCGTAATCTTGGGATTGGGATATCGTATAATCACGCTCACATAACCTCCGTCCAGTCAGCAGTCGACCTTTTTGATCAATCCCATCGATCTCGTTCGGTCCCCATATTTCAGGCAAGTTTTTGTTTGTTTTAGCACTCAGTTCCAAATATATTCGTTTTTGACCTTATCGGATACTTCCTAAAGTTACTAAATTCATTTAAAACGCTAGTTTTAAAGTTATTTAATCACTTTTATATACTGGACAAGTGCCTACTGTTCTGCAACTGTAAAATTATCTAATCGAAGGTGATAGTTAAATTTTGAGTTTGAGTTTTGAGATAAAAATTAAGATAATTAGTCCGGGTATTTAGCGTAATATTTTCTTTGTGGTTAATTATTTAACAAACATCACTACTAAAGTGTATAATAGCCTCTGATATTTTTTTGGTTTAGCCGACGAAAAGTTTAGCTGCAAAAACTAAGAGCACATTTTTACGTGCATATGTAGCTGAGTACATATTTCAGAAAGAATACATGCATTGTGCAGCTGCATTGAAAGGCTCCTAAATCTGTCATATTGGTAAAGATCGGAGAGTCCAGACCAGTAAATTATTGTTTCATGTCAAGATAAAGGTTGTAAATCGAAAAATCGATATGACTTAGCTAACAGTTTGACATTTTTAAGATATTTTGCGTTTGATTTATATGATTCTTGATAAAATTCCAAAAATAATAACTTACATACTTAGTTGATCATCGGTGGCCGTTTTCACTTTGTGAAAAATTCTATGCTCAAGTCCTCAACCAGTGATCTTAATTGTCAGTATGGTTGAAACGACTGGTCATACACTGATGTCATATGGTTGTCTGTTCTCATCTAGCTTTTCTTAAGCCTACTCTTTTGCCGGAAGACATCAGTCGTGGTATTACGTAGTGCCTGGGCATTCGTAGCATAAGCTTACGTATATCTTTTATTTTTAGGGACTATTTTTCACAACCATAGAGTGTACTCAATCGAACGTCAGACAATTATAGAATGCTGCATGGGCTTATGTATTTTCAAATAAGTATTATTAACAATCTGAGTTGTGTGATTCCCTCTCGTGTAAGTAAAAACAGATCTTCAGAGAGTGCTTTTCCGAACATTGCAGCAGGCATTCGTTATCCTTTATGGAAGGCATCTTAAAGCAGTTACTTATTAGTTTAACTAATATGAAACAGCGATCTCTGTCTATTCTTTAACCATTTACTTGATTATATTTCATATCGATAAAGTCAAATCTGAATTTCTGTTTATAGGATTATGGTTATGGTAATAAAGATATTCATGGAACCAGTCAAGATAATGATACCTTAGATACTAATTCTAGTGCAGATGAATTTCCTGATGTATATGAACCCTCACAACTACGTTTAGTGGAGTTAGCACTTTGTTCAGGTCTACCGAATGAAATAGAAGTTGCTTTAAACTCCCTTCTTGTTTTATCAATAACTCCGTCATCTGGCGGTTCATCGACTAGTGTTAGGCTTGCTCATTGTACAAACTTATTATCCCTGCTTGTGGCATCTGTTGGAATATACGGAGAAGGTAAGCAATCACCATTTTATTGTTTTGCTATTTACAATTTTTTTGGGGCAGTTCTACTTTCTATGTAATGTAAGCAAGCAGTTTATGGATGGTGCTAAAGAAGTCGTATGTAGCTTTTTAGGTACAACTAGTGTTATTTTGTCATTTGTCATCTCAGTGAAGTAGGAACTTGAACTGTGTTTCACATAAAACTGTTTTAAAATTTGATAATGTAAATACATATGCATACGACTACACCCTTAGAGTGTTTCAAGAACAGCTGAAAGAGCTCTTGGTTCATAAAATTACTGTTTACAACAACGTGGCTTAACACAATATCAATGTAACTGTAAAAACTGCAATGATATTCTGTCAATAAATTAAACCAAAATGTTAGAGAGACCAATGGATCTGTGACATCGGCTTAATTGATGGTTGCGTAAAAAGCCTAATCTCAGCTTACTGATCTCGATCACTGATCATCCCAGTACATCAGAAAGAATAGGAACTCCCTTTTAATGTTCACAAAAGAATAAAATTTGATTATTAGAGGACGCAAAAGGTTATTTTCAGATTTGTGTGCCTTTATCTAATTAATTTTTCATGGGTCTGCCAAAAGATTCATTTCTCGACCTAAAGTGCTCAGATAAAATACTCTTGTTTTTTGAAGACTGAAAAAAATACGGTATTTTGGATTGCCTTGAGCTACAATGCAAGCATGCTGTGGATGCGTTTCTCTGCACCGACCACTTCGTTTTTTGGGAGGTTTTACCAGCCCCGATAGGTCGGTGTCCGTCGAAACCTCTATACTCACTCATTCAGGAGTATTTATCAAATTTAGCTGCTTGCAGTGTCGGAAAAATATTCATCTACTAACAAAAGAGTGAGTATGCTGTACAACAGTTTACTCAAGTTCACTTCGTGGTTGTAACACCTAATTGGCGTAGGAGTATGTCTGAAGAAAGCTAGCAGTAGTCTAAGAAGGACGTGGGATCAGTATATATATATATATATATATATATATATATATATATATATATATATATATATGAGATCGTTTAATGTCAATCTAAATCATGTTGGTGTAGACCAGCTGGTCTAGGTCCGTTTCTTCATTACTCGTTAAAGACGTTGGGTGCATTCAGTCATTATTTTTCCCTTAGATCCTTAGTTTGAAAGTCATATTCCACCTGATTCATTCCTACCAAGTCATATTTTGTATGCCCCTAACCTTTTGTATTATCACTGGTTCTTCTAATGTAGCATTTATCTTCGTGATTTAATCTTATGGCGTTGATATGGTGCAGTCGATGCATATTTGCGTTAGGTTCTTCGTTGCTTATGACTGATATTCTTATATAAGATTTAATCCATATGGGCATAATTTTATTGTTGAATGTTTGTATCAGCATTATTAATTTAATGCCAGATTAAAAGCATAACCAAAATTTCATTTTAGGTTATGGATCTTATATCTCCTGTGATGAAACTTGGGGACGTCAGAATCAACTAAATTTTCTCAAAGTACGTTTTACTGATTCTTGTTTCAAAAGTCATATCGGTAATTCGTTTATGTTGTATTCCACTTAACGTGTAATACATTTTATTATTAACACATTTACCATCGAAAAAAAACTATGTATTTGGCTTCATGTTGCACACTCTGAGTGTGTAGGCCAGTGATATACTACCCGACTGCTCAAATCGAAGTAGGTGGGTCAGGGTTCGAACCTGTGGTTAGAAGTCTGAAGTCGATGATGGGAAGTGATTATTTACATGCAAATCTATTGTATGACAAAAACAGCGCATCATTTGGATGGATATTCTTAAAGCGGCTTATAATTTGTATCCTAACAGTCAGTTTTTCAGACAATCATTTCATTTAAAACTGGCAGACAAAAAAAATCATACACTGAAAACGTTGAAATCATGATAAACGAAGCGTAAACCAAATTGTCTATGGATGGGAATATTATAATAACACATATAAGTGCACAATATTGTTATCAGTTAGATTGTCATCAGGCTTTACTCTAATATACATGAATATGCGTATAAAGACAGACAGACAGACAGACAGATACAACGCAGAACTTCGTACATAAGTACGTCAGTTCAGGTTGCCATACCACATCAGCACAGAAACGTAACTGTCAGTTCAAATCCATGAGTGAGAGCGATCGTAGAATTATTAGCACCAATGGAGAAGATTAGGGAGCGAAGATATGATTCGAAAAGTATAATTCAGTGAGATAAATCTAGAAGGAGAAAGATCCAGATTATGAGGAAGTCAGAAGGTTATAATTAGAGAGAACACAAAGAGTGGATGCACCCGCGCCATTGAAAACGATTCTGGGTCATGTTGTTCAAGGTCTCTAACCATTGATGACTTTCGTCTCGTGGACCCCAACCAGATAGCCTACATCTACCAACATGACTCAGTCCACTTGTCAGTGACTTCATGGATTTGTGCCATGTTTCTGTCTGGCCGCCCCTAACTTTCTTCCAACCTACTCCTACACAACAAAACATAGCTCGTCGCGGCAGTCGGTGGTTAGGCATACGTAACACATGTCCCAACCACCTCAACTGATAAAGTTTCAATACTTCATCTATTGATTTGTCATCCTTACCTAGAACTCGTTTCCCGTAACAACACGAGAGACCAAATGGGTCAAAATCAAATCCTTCTTACACCCCGTAATATGCGTATAAAACTTAAACCAATCAAGGGAATTCACAGGAAAACAAGTCCTTTAATCAATAATGGCACGTTTGTTGTAGATGGTGAGATTATTTTGATGATAGTATGAAAGCTTGAGTCAGAGCTCATTTCTGTCCAAACTGCATTGATTATGGATATTTGAATCTGTATTTTGTGGTTGTGGAATTCAAATATATAACTTTAAATTGCGTTGTCTACGAGTCTGCAAGTTTCAAACAATATATATGGAAGTCAATCGTTATTACTGTCATTATGGTTATGATCTACATAAATGTGTTTAAATCTGGCTGTGACTGCACAGTTCTGTTCTTGATCTTCTTATATTTAAACCTCTATGTATGAACTTCCTTTGTTCAGTTTTACTATCCCTATTAAAACTTTTTTTATTTGTCATGATTATGTAACTCATCATACGATCACCGATTATAAACCCATATATACTATATCCTGTACAATTATTGTTTAAATTTAACTCTAACTAATCGGTTTTATATGTTTCCATTTAAATGGTTGATTCAAGGGGAAGCGTAAACAGTCTTTTTGATGGATTTAGTGTACACTTTTGTAGGTTGAATATTTTGTTTCGTAATCGTATTAGATTACTGAGTTATGTTGAGTCACCAGAAGTCGTGACGGAATAGAGCCCCAAAACTAACACACAGCTAACAGGAAAAGTGTTGAGTATATTTTTTTTTGGGGGGGGGGGGACATTTCCTATGTGATCATTCTCTTTTGAGATTTCATTGGCTACCATAAGTGTAGAGTATTGCCTCATTTTAATAACTACTGTACACTCATCATTATCCTGTACTAGGGTATTTAAACTGAATAGAAAATGGATGTTGCATTGATATCTTTTGACTAATGATGTGACTGACGAAATCTCGGCACGGATACAGAAAGCTGGATTGGCTTTTGCCAATTTACGTCATTTATGGCGTAGGCGGGATATCCATTTGCTGATTAAAGGACGAGTGTACTGCGCAGCAGTTTGCTCCGTTCTCCTATATGGATGCGAAACATGGCCGGTAAGAGTAGAAGATATTCATAGGTTACTAGTATTCGATCATAGATGTCTCAGAATGATTGCTCGTGTATGGTTAGACAACCGATTGAGCAATGCTGTTGTTAGGAAACGAGTTTTAGATAAGGATGGCAAATCAATAGATGAAGTATTGAAACTTTATCAGTTGAGGTGGTTGGGACATGTGTTACATATGCCCAACCACCGACTGCCTCAATTAACTTTGTTTTGTTGTGTAGGAATAGGTTGGGAGAAAGCTAGGGGCGGCCAGACAGAAACATGGCAGAAATCCATGAATTCACTGATAAGTGGACTGTCATGTTGGTAGATGTAGGCTACGTGGTTGGGGTCCGCAAGACGATAGTAACCGATGGTTGGAGACCTTGAATGACATGGCTCAGGATCGTTTGCAATGGCGCAGGTGCATCCACTCTTTGTGTTCTCTCAAATCATAATCTTCTGGATTCGTCAACACCTCTACTTTTGTCTTCCTAAACTTATCTCGCTGAATTATACTTCTTAAATAATAATATCTTGGAACCCTAATCTTTTCTATTGCCAATAGTACTCCTACTATCTCTGTCACTATGGAATTTGATCTGACATTCGCATCTTTGTGCTAATGTGGTATGGCAACCTGAACTGACATACGTACGTACGAAGTTCTATGTTGTTGTTGTTGACTGACTGACTGACTGACTTATGTTAACAGAATAAAATTAAAACAAAAGAAATTTGTGTTTTTTTTTCTCTTCATTTATTTCATGAAAATAACCTGATATTTCGATTTCATTTTTTCTTTGTTTCTTAAATTAAAAGTTTTGGTACAGTGTTGTTCGTGAACCATCTGGTCGTATTTTCCTTCGTCCTGATGTTTTCATTAATACTGGTAAATGAATTTTTATAAGGCTTTTTTTGTGTGTGTGTGTTTGAATTATCATTACAAATTATTTTTCTCTTTTTTTGGTCACTTGTTTATTCATTTTATTTTATTTTAATTTTTTCTCTCTAATTTCGTAATATGCGCACAAACACAACCTTGAAATAATTGTTTCAATCACATCTCGATGTTTATTGTTGTAATTGAAGTTTAGTTTAGTGTATAATTTATCTTACACTAGTTGTGCTATCTTATCACATGAGGTCGATTTATTGACCAATCATTTTGTAGTGTATATGATTATATATATATATATATATATATATATATATATATATATATATATATATATATATATATATATATATATATAGTGCTAATATATTATATTCGACAAGGTCATCATTATGATTATTGTAAAATTTATCTGGTGTTTTTTAGTTGTTGTTCAACAAGTGCAACATTGATATTAATTTTTTTTTATATTAAAGTTATTCTCCTATCTAAAGTGCTTTGAATGAATCGAAAAAAGATTGTTTGTTTGCATTGGTTGTTTACGTAGGTCATATGAAAAACTTAATAAACGAATGTAATTTTTACCTTAAGAATTAGTTTTTATTTATTGAAGTTTCTCTTACTGTTTTTGTTGTTGTTGTTGTTGTTGTCGTTAAATAATTAGAGGAAATTGGTCTATGTAAAATGTTTGAACGTGCAATTTCACAGTCTGTGAGTGGTTTGTCATTCTTACAGTAGTAACGTTGAATCTTAGTAGTTTAGACATACAACAGCAGATAGAGTCTTCTTTACTCAGGTAGATTGTATCATTATTAGTAATGTGAAACACAAAAAACAAATCGCTGTCCAGTAGTAGTAGTAGTAGTCAGTTAGTTAGTCAGCAACCACAATGTTAGAACTTCATCCATACGTACATCAGTTCAAGTTGTCATAGTATATTAGCACAAAGTTACAATTGTCACGTCAAATCCCATAGTAGTATAGATTGTAGAGAAGTATGTGCAACAAATCGGAAAGCTTAGGGTTTCATACTTTGATTTCCAGGACAGAGAAGGTTAGAGAATGCCGGTCGGCGGCCTATGCTGCATTAGGATTAATCGGAGTAAGTAAGTAAGTTACTCAGACTGACTAATTATGAAGCTTGAAAGAATAAAGATCAATAGTATTTTGCGAAAAACTAATTAGTCAGTGAATGAATGGGTATGTACACATTTAAATACCAGAAAAAAAATAAAAGATCTATAATTAGATTATATGACTAATTAATTAATTAATGATTCAAGTTACATAATTATTTTGCCCTGAAAATGTGATGACTACATGTCACAGATACTTGATAAGAATCATATTTTTGTACCTCAATTACACTCCAGTCCATTAAATTCTGACTCATTATATCAAACATACATATATATGTATCTGCTTCTTGTTTATTGAGTAAAACAAGCAGAATGAAAGGGATTTTCACCTAAATAATGAATTCTTATTACTGATTTTTCAGTACGCCTGGAAAAATTTATACCTGCAAGTGCGCACTGCTAATGAGTCCCACATTATCAATCAATCAATCAGTTAATCAACAACAACGTAGAACTTCGTACCTACCTAGATCAGTTCATATTGCCTTGCCACATTAGCACACAGGTGTAATTGTTAATTCAAATCCCTTTGGTAGTAGAGATGGTAAAGGTATTAGCAGTAATCGGAGAGATTAGGGTTCGAAGATATTATTAAAGAAGTATGATAATCTAGTGAAATAAAATTAAAAAGACAAAGTGATGAGCAATTCAGGTTACTATTTAAGAGAAAACAAAGAATGAATGTACCTACGCCATTTCAAACTGTTTTGAGCCATGTGATTCACGGTCTCTTACCATCGATTACTATCATCTCGGGGACCGGAATCAGGTAGTCTACACTTATCAACATGGCTCAGTCCAGTTGTCAATGACTAAATGGATTTCTGCCATGTTTTGGTTTGGCCACCCTTAACTTTTTTCCAAATTACTCCCACATCTCAAAACATAGTTTGTTGGGGCACTCGATTGTTCCATGGTACATTAAAGTGTTCGCTAATAAGTGAAATTTATTTCATTAATCTATAGAAATAATGAAAACAATGCTGTATTTAGCCGTTACTGTCAAGTAATCGAGTAATGGAAGGCTGTACACGGTTTTTATGTCATGCTAAATCATATATCCAGTTTCTTTTTCTAAGTAAGGTTACGTGATTGAATTGCTTATCAAGATTCTTTTGAATTGTAGCATTGTAGAGGTACGATCAGCCTGTAAGTTTAACAGATTCCACAATAGAATCTTATTTATTCAGGTTAGTTAGTGCTGTGCTGATGTGGTGTGTCAACTTAGACTTATTTACATGTGTTTTAAGTTCTCTGTTACTTTGATTGACTGCTGGATTGTATTCGTATCAAATTGTTCGCGTAGACTAAAAGTTCAGGTTCTTGTTTACAAGTTGTAATACAGTAGCTAGTAGATCAAGTTGAAACATCTCGAACTAGGACATCTGATAAAGTTAACAGTTAGTAGGATTGGACGTCTTACTGTTGGTTTTTGTGGGGTTGTAGAGAGATGGCTGTCGCTTGGAGTATTCCTATAGACGTAGGTTGAAATTAAATTTATGTGTGGTGCGTACTTTTCTGATCAGCAAGCCTGAGTTAAATTCCGGCTTATGGTTCATTAAACAAAACTAAACATGTGTTACGAATACTCAACCACTGAATGCCTCGACGATCGACGTTTTGTGGTGTAGGAGTAGGTTGAAAGACAGCTATAAGTGGCCAAAACGTAGCACAAATCCATGAAGTCATTGACAAGTGGACTGAGTCATGTTGGTAGGTGTCTACTAACTGGTTAGGGTTAGCGAGACGAGAGTCACCGATGGTTAGAGACCTTGAACGTTATAGTTCACAATCGTTTGCAATGGTGCAGGTGCATCCATTCTTTGTGTTCTCTCAAATTCTAACCTTCTGAATTCCTCATCCTCTCTATTTTTCTCTTTCTAAATTTATTTCACTGAGTTATACTTCTTGAATAACATTTTCGAACCCTAATCTCTCCGATTACTTCTAGTACTTCTGCTATCTCTACTACTATGGGATTTGAACTGACAGTTGCGTTTCTGTGCTAATGTGGTATGGCAACCTGAACTGATGTACGTATGTATGAAGTTCTACATTGTAACTGACTGACTGACTGGAAAAAATAACTAAAGACAAGATACTTCGAATATCAGGGAACCTGCATCAGGTTGGTTAAGTGGATGAAAACGTTCCAGTTATACTGATATGCTACTACAATAGTGATTTTAACGTTACTTACAGTTTAAGTTTACATCGAGAAACGAATATCTATACAACTATGAAGCACGACGGCTTTTTTTGCCCTACTATTGAACTCATAATTCCCCCAGGTAACTCCGACCCTCATAAGGCGGAACACCAAGGCCTGCATTCCTAATAGTAAGGGTGTTATTGATAGACCACCAGGCTGAGATGCTGTGATACTCTTCTTTACGGTCAATTTGTTTAATTGTTGTATCACTGTCTATTTTCTATATTTAATCAAGTACTTTATGGATTTTTTTTCTCCTCGTTGTCTTATTTCAGAGTACACTGTCGATGAAATTGGTACAAATGCAGAAAAGGCTATGCATGAACTGTTTACTCCATTTTCCAATCAGTATTATGGAACTCATTGGCCAATGGAAGGTTTTGAAGGTTCACGTGTTCTGTTGATTGCCACTATTCTTGTCAACCTGGTAACTCCACCACCTGTTGCCTATGCATCAGTAATTGAAGATGATGATGATGAACTTGATTTTAAACCTATTATACCTTGTAATCTTTTCCCAAAAGGATTGCCTCTTGTAACTTGGCAAGAAAATGCACGTATTATTGCAGGAAATCCAAATGCACTTCGTTTTATATTTCTTTGTGCTTATGCACATCACTCAGGATTGAGATCTTTAGGTCTACAACTACTTTCAAGTATACGCTATCCCTTAGATCCACCTAGTATACCACTCCCACTTGAATGCCCAGAATATTGGACACCTTTAATTGATAATGGCTGTCGTCTTGGCCAATTAACTTTAGCATTTCTAACTCGATGCATTCTGGAAAGTAATGATCGATGTGATTTAATTGCAGGTGAGCTTTTTTTTGTCATACTACTGTCAATTCTTATCAGTACTGTGTACTGTGTATATTGTTTGTTTTAAAAAAACTTCACTTATCCTTTATTTTGCCTTTTTTCCAGGTTTAATGTTTCTAGCTAATCTAACTAAAGTTCGTGAGAAAATGAATTTATCTAGTCTCCTTGTCGGTCTACCTCATACTGTTTGGCCTAGACTTGCTCAGCTGTTGTGCTTACCAGATTTGGCAGTTGTATGTGCTACTTTGGAAGCGCTTCGTTGTTTAACTAATCTAGATGCGTCAATGTGTTTAACGTGTTGGGAGTCTTGTTGTGTCAATGTGAATTCATTCGATCAAGAAAACATTCCGTTTCTTTTACTTCAACCATTGTTAGCATTACTTACATTGGAAGGTCAAGCGATGGGTTCTCAATCGCTTCATCGTATTCGAGTAAGTTGCGCTTTCACTGAATAAAGCGTTTCTTTTCAGACTAATTTGTATACTTTAGTGTTTTTATTTTTACCAAATTTGTTATAGGTCTTCTGTTAAATTATTTTGCTTGTATACAAAGTAATTAATTGCCTAGGGAAACCATTGAAATAGTCAAATATAATGCAACTGTGCTGCCGATTTCTACCGTTTGTACAATTTTTGTTTTCGAAAACTAAAATATTCCTGTTGAATGTATTTAATTTTTTAATATTCTTTTATTTATAGCTTTTACCCCGCACTCCACAAGCTCACAATGTTCAACCGCAACTTCCTCATGGGCCCAGCCAACGAACTCCTGTTCATAGTCATCTATCTCCCGGCATGAATGAACTGTATCGATCCAGGGATGCATCAGCATACACTAATGGGCAAATGTACAGATCGTATTTACGCCCTAAACCTCCTGTGGTACATCCAGTTCCTACTGATTCCTTTGATAATAGTGATATTTCTAATTGTACCAGTTCATCCTTTCGTAATTTAAAATTTGAATCTAGTTCACATATAAAACAGTCGACAATGTCATCACCATCTTGTATATCACCATATCCAGTGTACAGGCCTCAAAGTGGAAGTACTGCTTGCTCTGGTCTTATTAACCTGTTATCTTCAGTGCCACCACCGCCACCGCCTTCTTCTCCTTCTTCAACATCACCTAATGTTATTAACATGCCAGTTATGACTCCCAATTCGCCTAATTCCCCAAAACTAGTAGCTTCGCCTAGTTTATCGGAATTAACAGATCGACTTCAAATGCCACCGCCTTCGTTGCCACCACCATCGGCAATGCGTCGTTCCATAAAACGAACTCATTCACGGACGATGGGTACTTTAATTCCACCATCTACTCAACCAATAATTGATAAGGCCAAAATGATGAATCTATCACCTCCTTGCAAAACATTACATTACTCATCAGGAAATATGCCTGTGGCGGCTGGTGATCAACTTAGTCCAACATCTTTGTCGTTGACAAATTCGTGCAATTCAAAATCTTCCCCACCTCAAGGTAAATGGTTTAGTTTATATATTTCTACTTTTAATGAAAAACAAATGGCAAAATTATTTTTGTTCACTACCCTGAGCAACAATGCAAGCATGTTCGGAATGCGGCTTTCCCCGTCGAAATGCAGAATATTGCTTCAAGATTGGGTTGCATCGGTACCTGAACTAATGATAGGGGGCGAAGTAGTTGAGTGTGTAGACCGCTTCACTTATATCGGGAGTTTCATCAGTGCTGATGGCCTGGTGGCTGACGGAATCTCTGCACGGATACAGAAAGCTCGGTCGGTTTTTTCCAACTTGCGTCACCTATGGCGCAGGTGAGATATCCGTTTGCTAACAAAAAGACGAGTGTACCTTGCAGCAGTTTGCTCCGTCCTACTATATGGATGCGAAACATGGCCGGTGAGAGCAGAGGACATCCGTAGGTTGCTAGTCTTCGATAATAGGTGTCTCTGAAGCATTGCTCGTATATCCTGCGACAACCGAGTAAGCAATGCTATCGTTGGGAAACGAGTACTAGGTAGGGATGGCAGATCAATAGATGAAGTAGTGAAACTTCATCAGTTGAGATGGTTGGGACATGTGTTATGTATGCCTAACCACCGATTGCATCATCGAGCTATGTTTTGTGGTGTAGAAGTAGGTTGGTAGAAATCGGTGGCCAAACCAAAACGTGACAGAAATCCATGAAGTCGCTAACAAGTGGACTGAGTCATATTGGTAGATGTAGGCTACCTGGTTGGGGTCCTCGAGACGAAAGTCAGCGATGGTTAGAGACCTTGATCGACATGGCGCAAAATCGTTTACAATGACGCAGATGAATCCACTCTTTATGTTCTCCCTATTTCTAACCTTCTTAATTCCTCATAATCCCTATCTTTCTCCTTCTAAATTTATCTCACTGAATTATACTTTTCGAATCATATATTCGCTCCCTAAACTTCTGCATTACCGTTAATACTTCTACTATCGCTACCACTATTGGATTTGACGTGACAGTTGTGTCTCTGTGCTAATGTGTTATGGCAACCTGAACTGATGTACTCATGTACGAAGTTCCACGTTATAACTGACTGACTAACTGATGTATATTATACTGACTTGTGTTATTAAGTATTTTCCTTTTTTCGTTATATAGGGTTTAACCCAGTTTGATTCATTTTATTGCGAGTACACGAGTAGTTATTTTAGTTGTGTGTGCTCACAAACATTAATTCATTAGCAGATCAATAGAACTTTAGTAATTAGATCTCATTCAAAGGCATAACTTGCAGTCGACATTAATACAAACTATCTAAAATTGAGCTAATTCTTAGTAGACTACTAAAAGCGACGTCAATTTAACGATCACTTCTTATCTTACTATGCTGTGTTATAGGTTAGCAGAGTTTGATGGCTGATACATGGGTGATAAAGATGACAAGTAAACCGATTCCTGACTAGTGGAGTTAACATTAAGTGATACTATTTAACGGATTGTTAACTTTTCACAAAAACCGGTTTGTTAATATAAACCTCCGAAAAAAAACTGACATCTAAAGACAATACAGCCAGCTAAAAGATCCACTTTTTTCTTTTAGTTAAGTGACATACCCAAAGAAACAAATCGTTTCAGATAATAGATAAGAGGATACTACTGACTGTTACGGTCTAGAGTGGGGAAAATGCGTTCTCTTTCTCTCGAAATGTTCTCATTAGGCCACGCGTGTAGTGCCACCGCTTGGAAAGTCCTACTCATTGCCTTCCCGTAGTGGGGGTGTTATTTATGAAACTGAGAGGATGAAAAGCGCGTGTCCGGTGCTTTAACCAGGTTGGTAGGTACCTTGGATGATCGATCTAGGGGTGTTGGATCTCAGGATCCTGGCGGAACGAATAGCGTAGTAACTTGCTGTTGGCCACCAGTTACCATGGGACTGCATCTTCCTACGTCGCACCACACTGCCCTGTGGATTATTATTGGACTTTTGGACTAAATGTTCAAGCTGTCATTCACACGCTAATCAAATTAATTCTTGATTCAAATCTTTTTTATTCTTGCCTATCTTATCAAAATAATATTATATTTTCAGTGCTTTATAAATATCGTTACAGTATGAATTAATAACTGGTCTTATTTTTTTTTTTTTCTTATCTTCTTCACAGGAGACTCACCTGCCTCACAGTTGTCGGCCAATTCAAAAGAAATTCCACAAATTGAAAAACATGTCAATGAAAGTTGTTTAGAACGATTTCCTGATGAATCTGTAAATCAAACAAATAATTATCGTAGCTTATTATTGCCACATTTAAAGCCAATTGTAAATTATGACAGTTGTAACAAGAAAACCAATAATAATAATAATAACAATATTAATAATAATAATAATACTAATAATAATAAAGACGAATCAGACAACATTGAAGTTAAGCCAATTGTTAATGGTGAGAAAACTGTTAATCCTGTCAACTTTATCCATGTAGATAGTAGTGGTAATGAAGTAAAAACTCCAGTTAATCATTATCATACGAATGGCCTTCGAACTGGTATTTTACAAGAAGCTGTACAAGCTATACAAGATAAAAAATTGAAACAAATTGAAATGGAACATTGCAAGCCAGTTGTCAAATGTGTCAATGGTGTGTTGGAGACAAAACGTGACCTGATGATCATCAATGCAAAAGTATGTTTTTTTCTTTTTTTTGTTTTTCTTAATAATTTAGTTTAAAAATTTTTTTTAAAAAAAGATCGGTTACTACTGTTAACTCTTTACATATATATATTATGATGGCCTGGTGTGTGACGAAATCTCTGTGCGCGTCTACAGAAGGCTCGATTGACTTTTGCCGAATTGCGTCATTTACTATGGCGCAGACGAGATATATCCGTCTGCCAGCTAAAGGGCGAGTCTACTGCGCAGCAGTTCGCTCCGTCCTACTTTATAGCTGTGAAACATGGCCAATAAGAATAGAGGATATTCGTAGGTTACTGGGTTTTCGATCATAGTTGTCTGCCAAGTATTATAGCTCGTTGATCTTGGGACAACCGAGTAAGCGATGCAGTTGTTAGGAAACGGGTACTAGGTATGGATGGCTAATCAGTAGATGAAGTGGTTAGGACATGTATTACGCATGCCTGACCACCGACTGCCTCGTCGAGTTGTTTTGTTGTGTAGGAGTTAGGTTGGAAGAAAGTTAGGGGTGGCCAAACCAAAATATGGCAGAAATCTATGAAGTCACTGACAAGTGGACTGAGTCATGTTGGTAGATGTAGGCTACCTGGTTGGGGCCCGCGATATGATAGTAATCGATTGTTAGAGACTCTGAATGACATGGCTCAAAATTGTTTGCAATGGCACAGGTGTATGTACTCGCTGTGTTCTCTCAAATCCTAATCTTCTGAATTCCTCATCACCGTTTTCTCTCTTTGTTTTTAACGAAATCCTCTGGAGTCTTTATTTCGAATGATATATTCTGTCATTAATCTTTTTGATTTTTTTAAATTACTGCTACTAATACTTCTACTACCTCGACTACTAGGGGATTTGAATTGACGATTGCGTCTTCGTGCTAACTTGGTATGGCGACTTGCACTGATCTACGTACGTACGAACGTACGAAGAGCTACGTCGTAGCTGACTGACTATGACTTCAGAGATTGGTTGCTTTGTGGAGCGAAAAATCTCACTTTGGCATGACACTTGCCGAATTTATTTCTGAGGTTATGTAATTTCATTGACCCTGAGATGTTGTGATGATCAGTGATTATCAGGTATGTGATTTCGTCATTATTGATTATTTTGAGATACACAACTAGTAGTGTACATGATTGTACATGATAACTATGGGTTCGTGGGTGGTTGATGTCGGAAGCGATGTTGAAAGACAAGACATCATGTGGGAGATCGATAAAAACTCCAGATTAAAGATCACCATCTTCATGGCAACCTTTTTTGTGTTGTTTGATTTACAGGCAGTCATTAGAAATCTGCTTATTTTTTTTTCAAAATATTCACTTCAATTCATTTATGCACTACCTTTATTTTAATGTCCTTTCTTATCTCGATTCAACTTATGATTGATTGATAATTTCAAAATGTTTTAAAAACACAAAACCTCCAAAACTCTGTCCGAAAATATCGTGACAGTGCTCACTAGTGACTAGCTTCGTGAGGAGATTCTCGGAGCTCTAGTTGAGAAGACGTGCGTGACCAATGGAGTTCAACCCTGTTGGGTGTAGGCAGTAACTACCAAAGACAAATGGGTGAGGTCGCGCAAAATCCTTAGATCAATCAGAGTTAGACATTAACAGCGTTGGATGCTGGCCCAGTGGTACGATGGTTAGGCGCCTGCGCACAAGACCGAAGGTCCCGGGTTCGAATCCTGCGAGGTGCAGGAGTCGTGGATGCGCACTGCCACTGATGAGTCCGATACCAGGACGAAACGGCCGTCCTGAAGTGCTTCCAGGTTTTTAATGTTGGTCTAACAATGATTGTAAAAACACAAACCTCCAAAACTCTGCCCGAAATTGTTATGAATTTGTTTAAGCTCTGAATCTTTCACATATGCCTCGTTATTTTCTACGGTTATCATCTCTGTCTATGCGTGTTATCCTCCGCATACCTGTGTTCATTACCATTGATTAGTTTTCATTACATTCAATAAATGAATAAGATGATCAATCGTGTGACTAACGATCTACACTGATCATATGATGAACAATTAGTAATAGTGATATAACTCCAACCAACTTGTATGCATGTTGTTTAATTTTTGCCGAAGGATCACTTTGTTATTTATTCAATGAGTTATTAGATAATTTTGAGAGTAAATCTTACTGTCGGACACTATGTATCCATTGGATTAGTTAACTAACTAATCTAAAAACAACGCGAAATTCATGAAAATCACTTTTTCAATTCATCCTTTGCTATTTCTAACTACATTACCTACCTACTTACTACGCATGCTGCCACCACTCCTCATTGGGCCGCATAAGCCATATACTATACTAACAGTCCCCAACCAACTGTGCCATGGACTCCCCAGTTTTGTTTGTTCCCGATTGCTATTTATTCATGTCTGCCGCTAACCATATTAGTCACAAAGTAGAATTTTTGTTACTACTAATTTTTTATGAAAATGAGAAAGAGCGTGCATAAACAGATAGATAGACAGACAGACAGACACAACGTAGAACTTGGTAAGTACCTACATTAGTTTAGGTTGCCATACTGCATTAGCACAGAGGCGCAACTGTCACTTCAAATCCAACAGTGATAGCAATAATATTAGCAGTATTAGCAGTAATCGGAGACATTTAGGGTTCGAAGATATGATTTGAGAAGTATAATTCAGTGAGATGAATTTAGAAAGAGGAATTTAGAAGATTAGAATTTGAGAGAACACACATCATGCATAAAATTCTGAAATTGTTGTATAAACTGTTTGTGCCTGACGGACGACATTGCTTCCTGTCTCTTCGGTGAATATTACACGAGTTTCTAATAAATTTCTCTTCTTATATATCACTGTACGCTTAAAAAGAATGATTTTCCAAACGTTTAATCGAGAATTATACATTGTGTAATATAAACTTAGTACAGTCAACAAATCAATGACATTTTAACCAATCTGTTATAAAACTTTACGCTTAAATACATAAGATTTTAATATGCCCAATGAATATGAGTGATATATGCTCAATATATATATATATATATATATATATATATATATATATATATATATATATATATATATATATATATATATATATATATATATATGGAGTAATCAATCTACATGTCATTACACAAAGATATTGAGTGAATGCCTAATGTTATGTTGTGAATTAGTTAGTATTTTATGAATGAAACATGTAGAAGAACTATAGAATTAATTGGACTACGTCAACTTGAATGCATAAGGATCCTTTAAGATGTATCAGTCAGTCAATCAGCTACAACGTAGAACTTCGTACGTACATACGTACATCAGTTCAGGTTGCCATACCACATTAGCACAGAGACGCAACTGTCAGTTCAAATCCCATAGTGGTGGAGATAGTAGGAGAATTAGCAGTAATGGAGAGTTTTAGGGATCGAAGATATTATTCATGAAGTATAGTTCAGTGAGATAACTATGGAAAGAGAAAGAAAGAGGTGATGAGGAATTCAGAAGATTAGAATTTAAGAGCACACAAAGAGTTGGTTGCACGTGAGTCATTGCAAACGATTTTGAACCATGGCGTTCATGATCTGTAACCATCAGTTACCATTGTCTCGTGGGCCTTAACCAGGTAGCCTACACTTAACAACATGGCTCAGTACACTTGTTAGTGACTTCATGGGTTTCTGCCACGTTTTGGTTAGGCCACCCCTAGCTTTTTTCCAACCTACTCCTACACAACAAAACATAGCTCGTCCATATATATGTATGTATATATTTGTGATTAATTCAACCAACAATTGAATGGTCCTATTTTCTGTAGAAATAAGATTATATGCTGTTTAATTGCTGAAAGTTTTGACTTTTTCTCCTTGTAAATAATCATTGGAGTAGTTGTTGCATGTTGCAATGGGTTATTCCATCTTTCAACCAAACGGAACAACAGATTTAATTTGTAGGCTTTAAGTTTTTCAAACAGTCTGCGAATATTTTGTTGAGTTAGACACATCATCACTGAGTTGTTGTCAATTATTGTTTGATAGGGTTTGTATTACCAACACTGTGTGTAACTGAAGCCTTGTTTGTTTTTAATTCATTGTGCTTATCCAGTTCTAGTGATCAGTACTATTCTAAATTAACTAACATTGCATGCCCTGTGTTTAGTAATTGTGACGAGTGTCAGCTAGCACATACCATAGTGCCTGAAAATTTCTTTTCACCACCCTCTTCTATAACCACCGTCAAAACAAAGGAGAAACTTTCTAGTCCTTTATGTATATGTACAGCTTTAAAGAACTTCCTCAGTATTTTTTACTATATATATATTTCATGTTGTATGATGATACTGTTATTGTAGGTGTCTCCGAAGCTTTGCTCGTGTATCCTAGGACAAGTGAGTAAGCAATGTTGTCGTTAGGAAACGAGTACTAGATAAGGATGTGACAGGTCAATAGATGAAGTAGTCAAACTTCACCAATTGTGAGGTGGTTAGGACATGTGTTACGTATGCCTAACCACCGACTGCCTCGTCGAGCTGTTTTGTGGTGTAGGAGTAGGTTGGAAGAAAGTTAGGGGTGGGCAAACCAAAACATGGCAGAAATCCATGAAGTCACTGACAAGTGGACTGAGTCATGTTGGTAGATGTAGGCTACCTGGTTGGGGCCCGCGATATGATAGTAATCGACTGTTAGAGACTCTGAATGACATGACTGAAAACCGTTTTGCAATCGCTCAGGTGCATTTATTCTTTGTGTTCTCTCAAATCCCAACCTTCTGAATTCCCCATTACCTTTTTCTTTTTAAGTTTATGTCACTGGATTCTACTTCTTGATGAATATCTTCAAAACCTAAATTTTCCGATTACTGCTTGTGCCTTAACTACCTCTACTCTACTATGGGATTTGAAATGAATGAGATTGCATCTCTGTGCTAATGTGATATGGCAACTTGAACTAATCCACGTCCGTACGTATGTACGAAGCTCTATGTTGTTGTTGACTTGACTTGACCTTCATCAGAATGTGCCTAAAATTCTAGGCACCATCTCACCTTACTGTTTAATGCATAATAATACTTTTTGTGTATCAATATTGATTTACTCATTGTCTCTTTTAAAAAAATTATTTCATCTCACTATGCATAGGATAATGCAAATGTGGATACTCACTCGAATGATGTTGTTAATTCACCACCAATGCGTTCTGATGTTTGTTGTGACAATTCAATGAAAAAATCCAATCTAAGCAATGGATATTTAACAGATGATATTCATGAAAATGAAAAGAATGACTGCAATAACAACAACATCATCAACAACAACAACACCAATTCACCAAGAAATGAAACAAATCCGTTGTGTATTGCTTCCAGTGAGAATGGTAACATAAATAATAACAAAAATAGTAATAGTAGTGGTGAATTGGACAAAAATGCAAATTTCCGGTATCATGCTATGATGCATTCTTCGCATAGATTTTTGAAACGTCGACGAAAATGGGGTTCAAAAAGACGTTTATTCTCACCGAAGCGTCGACGTGATCTAATCGCCAAACGTCTGGAACGGTCATCGATTTTCCATACTCCATTAACACTCGATCCTGTCCCTGGTTCTGTTCTAGATCCTACATGGAAGCACCCTACTGAGCCTGTGTTGGATGAATCCACATTGAACACGAGTAGTACTACTACTACTACTAGTAGTAGTAGTAGTAGTACAGGTAAGGCGATCGTGGAATCCTCAAGTCATGACAAAAATGCATCAATTCCTGATGATCATCTCAACAAGTTGGACAAGTCGTCTTGTGATGATGGTTCTGTGACTAGTGAATCGTCGTCAGAACGCAATTCAGAATCTGACAATAATGTCAGTTCCACATCTTCAGAGGATCCATCAACAAAAATGGTAAATGTAGAAAAGCCAATATTGTATTTGTGTGAATGGGAGTGTTGTACAGCTACATTTGAATTCAAACATCAGGTAGGTTTGATTTGATGTTTTACTGATCTATAATAGCTTTTTGTTGCTTTAAACTTTTTTACACCAAATACAACGTAAAGAAACAAATCAGTTCTGTTATTTTTGAGAGGAAGTGCTAACTAAAGTGGGAATAAACATTTTAAGTTTCAGGTTAACTTGTTGGAAGTTTCTCTACCTCTTGTAGCTTAGTGAGGTTCTTCAGGGCCGCCTGCTATCCCCCACCTTTATTCAGTTTTGTCGTTGATGCCCTCCTAGAAATATTTTCTTCATTCAACTATTCGATGCTCCATCTACCACCAGGAGGATCGCTCATGGATTTACAGCATTTCAATGAAGACGCTGATAAAATTAAGTCTTTTGGTTGCCTTGGGCAACAGTATTAGCGTGTTCAGGATGCATTCCTCTTCTTTTAAATGCTAAATGTTGCTTCAGGATTACTCTACGCCAACACCTAAATTAGTGAAGTAGTTAAATGTGCTGACCAATCCACTTATTCTGAATGTATGACAATCTTTGGCGTTTACCAACTTGGTTTACTTGTGGCTTAGGTGAGATATCCATCTATCAATCAAAGGCTATATATACTGATCAGTAGTTTTCTCCGTTCTACTTTTGGGCTGTGAACCATGATCTCAGTAAGTAGACGACGTGTAAGCTATAGATATTTGACCATAGACATCTTTGGAAGCGTTTCATGAGACGACCGAGTGAGCATTGTTGAAGTTGTCAGACACAGGATATTTAACAGAGGTGGTGGTGAGTCTGTTAGTGAGGGTGATGGATCTTCATTTTGAGATGGTTCGGACCTTTCACTTATGTGTAACCACCACCTACCTCCGCAAGTGATGCATACTGTCAAAAAAATATCTAGACACGTTACAATCGCGATCAATGGTTGGAGATTGTTGAGTAGTGAGTGATACGGATAAGAATCATTCGAAAAAAGCATCGTTCCCTTCAACTCCATCATCCTTCCATACATACTTTTTCACTTTGTGTTTTTTTAAACCCATATTCATATTGGTTTAATCTTCTTCATCGTAATTGCTACTAAATTTCTTAAATCTTCCTTTATTCATCTTGTTATTTTCTTCTCAATATACCAGTATAATATAGTAACTTGAACTTATGCACATCTGTTCCAAGTTATAATATATTGATGATATGATATACGTTTATAACTATACATATATATTTCATTATTACTTTTCTTGTCAACAGGTTGCATTTCATGTCTACACTACACATTTACCTAGTAAAGAAAGTTGGAAAGTAAATGGATCACATCATACAAATCATAAGAATTCCATTCAACTTGTACGTCGTTGTTGTCGTTGGCGAGGTTGTCAATCAGCATCATTAGCTCGTGCACCATATGCTTTAATGACTCATGTACTTGATATGCATTGTAGTCCAAAAGAATTAGAAACAAGAATATCAATGCATGAATGTAATAGAAATGTAGACTATCGAAATGATGAACACTTTTCTGATGATGTTGTGAATTCATCGATTGGTGGAGGTGGAGTAGGAGGAGGAGATACAACAACACATTCAGAGTATCCTTTAGTTGGTGGTGATCGTACAGGATGGGGAATTATTCGTTCTGTTGAAGCGAAACATACACAAACTGAATTACTAGCTGCACAATATCATTTTCTATTGACAAATCCTCATTATCATCAATCAAACATGTCATTAAATCCACTAATACATCATTCAAGCATAAATAATCCACCACGTGAAGGACCAGTAACAAAACATCTACGAGTAACTTCTGCACTGATATTAAAAAACTTTGCAATACATGTTGATCAAGCAAGAAGGTGAGTTTCTTTTTCTTTTTTTTTGCCGAACTGTATTCGTAATAATTATTGACTGTCTCGACGAACTCTGTTTTTATGGTGTTAGGAGTTAGGTTGAAAGAAAGCTAGGGTCGGCCAGACTAAAACATGGCAGAAATCCATGAAGTCACTAAAAAATGAACTGATTCATGTCGGTAGATGTAGGCTATCTGGTTGGGCTCCACAAGACGAGAGTAATCGACTGTTAGAGAGATCTTGAATGACATGGCTCAAAATCATTTACAATGGCATAGGTGCATCCATTCTTTATCTTCTCTCCAATTCTGATCTTCTGAGTTTCTCAAGACCGTCTTTTTTTAGAATAATTCATTTAGGTTATACTTCTTGAATAAGATCTGCGAACCCTAATCTTTTCGTTTACTGCTAATACTTTCACTAGTATGAGATTCAAACTGTCAATTCGATCTCTCTGTGTGCTAATCTGGTATGGCAGACTGAAATTATGTTTGTACGTACGAAATCCTACATTGTAACTGACTGACTGACTGAATTATCTTACTTTCATAATAGCTTCCTTTTACAGCATCTTCTATTTATCTAGAATAAGTCATCTATTCGATTTTTCATATCTGTGATTCACTCTAATCTAATAATCTATATGCCCTATATTTAGTTATCCTATTAAGTTATTGTTCAAAAGTATGATTTCTTTTGAATTTCTAATCCTGAGTATGTAAAAGTGTTCATATTCATTTTTATCAAATTAGTTCAACTGAATAATATCACATAGTAATTTTCTCTTTCCTTAAAAAATAACTGACATACTTACGCCTCTTACCCCCTAACTGGAGCACAGAGGCCGCCGAACAACGAATTATGTTGCTGGTTAGCGTTTTATTTAGCGAGTTTGATTTCTTTGGGATGGGATCGTTAACCCCATGCCCTACTCTCTTCCTTTTTTATCCGGTCTTGGGACTGTCAGTAACCCTAGAAGGGCTTTTAAGCGAAGTTTTTCTTGAATATTAATAATACAAACATCATGCATCCCATTACTCCAATCAAGTTGTTGACTATGATTAGAGCCATCTTAACTGTGTTATTGTAGGAAATAATAGTACAGCTAATGATAAGTACTGTCGACCAGGTCAAAGTTGTAGTGTTTTTGTAGCGGATGATTTCTAAGTACTTATATCCAAACAAAAATTTATGTTTTGGAAATGATATTACTTGTAAGTAGTTTAAATGTATTTACAAAACTCTCTAATTGTCATTAATTGTGTTAACTATTAAGATACTTATTTTTTACAACCTACATATATTTATGAATAGATAATAATATATTCAGAAATTCATTTACTTTGTATTTTTCACTATATATATATATATATATATCAACTTTATCTCCCTTTCAAATTTTCATTTTCACGAAAATGATGAACTGTGTCTGCTTGGTTTCTTCTCGTTATATTATCTTTAGGGAAAAAAAAGCTTGTTATTGATAGTTATGTTTGTAATAGTTATTCTTGGCGTCGTATAAAATACGATGTTAAGTGATTAAAGACAAGTGACAGGAAATCCTGTACTTGGCTTTCGTGTCAGAGACGACTTTTATCGTCAAGACATATCTGAAATCCTGAAGGAAATGTCGCCTCATTAAATTCTAACTAAAACTAGCTATTATCGTTTTCTACAAATGTTACAGTAGAGGCTCCAGAGAAGAATACAATCCATACCCTCCTTGAAGTGCCACGATTATGAGATGGGTTCTTGCCTTTTAAACTAACATGAGTGATCGATGAAGATCAGTCCGATTAACCACCGTACTGCGAATCCGGATCGTTCTAATGTTTATTTCATATCGAACAAAAAACGGAGCGGTGCCTATATATGCGTATTGTTTGCTTATCCAAAAGGGAAAACCGTTATAAAGACGACACTAGTACTTTTATTCTGCAGATGTATTGGCCTCTAACCTGTCTAATTTAGATATGTACAAAACGTCTAGTGATCTAACTGCGAATAACACTAAGTGGCGTATATACCTATCAGAAGAGTGCACGCGAAGTCCTCTATCTAACGTCTTATAACTTAGTAAGAAATATAATTCATGCCAGTACAGACCACCATACCTCACTGCAGTGATATCTATGGTGGTGTGTATACTATTAAATCCAAAAATTAATCTGGTTTGTGTATCTCTTAGGTACAATGCAGCGTATGCTTGTCAGAAAAAGCGGTTTTCATTAGCTTTTCATGTAGTTGTTAAGCGGTGTAGGACGGATTTCATTCTGACCGATTTGGTTTCGTGTGCCGTTACAGAGATTGGATCGATAGGCAAAAAAGTTTAGAGAGCAGTCCAACTGGCGTTCAGCCACGCTTCGGTTGCCTGCTATTTCCAGTCTACTTAAATGTAGGTCCTCCAAATCTTTATGAAATTGAAAAAGCGATATGAACTCTAAAGTGAGGGAGAGCAGCGTGTCCTGATAGGCTAACAACCCCTGAGATTTTTAAGGATGGTTGTCCAGTTTTAGCAGTTAAATTGAGATCTTAGGATAGAATTTGAGGACTGGACGTAGTCCCATCTGACTGGTCTCTATTCCTGATTGTCCCAATGTGTATAAAAAAGGACAAAAGTCCTCTTGTGACAATCACAGAGAAATCAGTTTAAATATTATGGTGTCTAAGACCTAACTAGAGCTCGTGAAGAGCAGACTCGAGAAAATCAGGCTGGATTCAAACCTGGACGAGGATGTTTATTAAACCAGATATTCTCATTTTTTCAGGTACTAGAACATAGACACATATTCAGACATCCGGCGATAGTTGTATTTCTCCTTATGTGAGATTCACTTGTTGACTAAGAATATGCCGATGTCATAGTTCTTTTTTATGACGAAATATCTGCACGGATACAGGTTTGACTATCTTTTGCCAACTTACGTCACTTATGGCGTAGATGAGATATCCTTCTACTAACAAACATACTAGTCTACTACGCTGCAGTGCTCTCCATTCTGATAAGCAAGTGTGAAACATGACCAGTAAGAGTAGAGGATATTCATAGGTTACTACTAGTATTATATCATGGGCGTTTTTAAATCACTGCTCGTAAATCCTGTGAGACCATCGAGTAAGCAATGCTTATGTTAGAAGACAGGCACCAGGTAAGGATGGCAAATCAATAGATGATAAACTGGTGAATCTTAACCATTTGAGTTGATTGAAACATGTGTTACATTTGCTGAGCTACTACCGATTGCTTCAACGAGCAATGTTCTAAGCCATGTTGTGATAGGTAGATAGACTTATCTGGTTAGGAACTTATGTTTCTTGTGCAATTTGAAATTTAGATTGTTATAAACGTAATTCTTAGTAAATTCTTTAGTAAATTGTTGATTTTACTATCCCATTAACATCTTTTTTTACACCAGATGGTTACTTAAAGAATCACAACTTTTATCAGAAATTGCATTTGGTTGTACACCAAATGAAACTGGTGGATTGAAAACAAACAATGCTAGTCATATTATAGCTCAATGTTTATCGATTTGCTCTGTGAAATCCAATTCTATTCAATGTGTTGTTTCAAGTCAATCAACGCAACCTAATACAATAATAAACATTCCTTCCATGTTTTCGTCGTCATCCTCATCATCATCTTCTCCACCTTCTCCTTCTCCTACTACTCATATTTCTTCACTTGCAAGTAGTAGTACTATCCGCCAATCGACAATTGACTCGACAGTGTCACATCATCCATCATTAAAAGAATCTATGGTGGTTGATTTAGATTCTTCCGAAAACTTGTAATTAATTAATTAATTAATGGGAAATAAATTTTAAACAAACACACCGACACAGACACACAAAACAAGGAATCGGTAGTGCTTTTTTTTCTAATTTATATTTACATGCATATATATTGGAATTTTCTTCATTTAACAAAAAAAATGCCTTTTATATTTTTCCAACATTCTCTTAGTATGTATGTATTCGTGGTGCTGGTGGTGATGGTGGTTATTTTTTATTTTTTTTGACAGGCTCTATATGTGTATTTCTTCTCTCTCTCTCTCTTGGTTATTTTATTCTTTTCCAGGTTTAGTTTCTTTTCATTTATTCTTTCATAGTGTTACTATGATTATTATTATTATTATGATTATTATTGTTGTATAAAAAAGGGAATTACACAAAGTGTCACTGCTTCATTCAATCCGTTGTTGTTTTTTTTTATGAAACAAACGCTTCAGGGTTTGTAGTAGGTGTAGTTGTTATCTTCCGAGCTCTCTGTATCTATCTGTCCAGCTCATTTTTGTACAGTTCTTAATTCACAAATTTCTCTTTCTCGAGCGCGCGCGCTCTCTCTCTATCTCTCTATGTGTGTGCGTTTGTGTGTGTGTGTGTGTAGTGGTGATTCTTCAGTTTGTGGTTTTCTTCAAAATCAACGTCGATTCATTCATTGGTCGTGTTTATTTGACAGTGATTTTCTCGTTGGACGATTCTGTTTATATATATATAATATAGACAGACACATTACATATTCACTGTTGTATTTCTATTATTATTATTATTATTATTATTGTTATTATTACTATGATTACCGAATTCCGTGTGCAGCTCAACTAACTTTTTCTCCTCTTACTTTCTTTTTTTTTTACTTCACACATCATGAATCAATTGAAAGAATAACTCTGTCGCTTTCTTTGTCTTCTTCTGCTCCTTCTTCTTCACTTGCATTGTCGTCGATTGAATTCAAACGCAATTCTGTATATCTGCCACCGACACACACACACACACTATTAATTGTTAGCCCTAATGCACTACTACTACTACTACTACTTGAACGCTTTCTAATATATACACCAATCATACATTTATATCTATCTACATATATATATATATAAATCTTCAATTATCGTATTTATTATTATTATTATTACTATTAATGTACCTCGGTTCAATCGAAGGCGGAATCAATTATGATGAGGACGCTGTATACGTACGTACGTACGTGTGTGTAAACTAGTTAGTAGTAGTAGTGGTAGTAGTCTTTGACAGTGTTTTATTTTTTTTTGTCGTTTTGAATATCAAAAAACTGAACTACTTTATATAAACAACTATTATATTTTGTAATTAATTATCTGAGTCACTTTTACATTTGCACACATACATATATATATATATATACATATTGTCTAAAGAAACCTCAATTATGTTGTACAGTTTCTCAACCAGAACCCCCCACCCCCCTCCTTGTTTTTTTCTCTTCCGTTTTTTCATTTTTGATTTCTAAAGATCAATATAAATGTGTTTTCAAAGATTGAACAATCGCATAAGTGAGTGAGTGCTTGTGTGTGCGCGTGTGTGTGCATATTAGTTGTGATTTATCCTTGTTATATATATATATATATTTACGTATACGTCCATGTAACCGGCCCCCGCCGGCTCATATGGTCGACACAATCTCTTCGAAGCTTTTCTTTTCTACTCTCTCACTCTCTCTCTGTTCACATCCCCTTTTCAATGGGTTTTGTTTTTCCTTTAGGAATTCTCTTTTTTTCTCCCGAATTTCCTTCCATACGATCGACACACACACACTGACTGACTGAGAGTTTACAATGGTGTTGTGTCGACAGAAGGCGATGACGATGACGACGTGTTGGTGCATTTTATTTCACTGAGTGTGATTTTGATCAATCAATTTTCTTTTTTTCAATTTTGTTCTTTTTTTTTCTTCGTCGGATTCAATTTTGAGTTTATAGTGAGTGCATATTCTTCAAGTGTTCAGTTCGCCTTCTTTTTTCCTTCTTTTTCTTCTGTATGTATGTATGTATGTATGTGTGTTGATTGGTTGGTTGGCTGCACATTATTAGTATTATTATTTTATGCATTTGTATGGTTTAAATAGTTTTTTTTTTTTAATTTCAATGAAATCTCTAATGCATCATGGGCTATAAAAAGATTGAAATAATCACATTAATAATGATAACCACACTAACAAGTACACCATTCCAGTGGATGGGTTGGTTGGTCAGTTGATCAGTTGGTTGCTTGACTGGGTTGGTTGGTGAATCTATTTTGAATGAATTGATGACTGTAGTTGAAAAGCGCAGCGCAATTTCTCTCTGTCAAACGAATAGCAGCAGCATTGATTTGTGTAATAATAATAACACCTTTCAATAATTGTAATATATGGTTTTTTTTTTAGAAATTATCAAGCTCTATCACGTTGTCAACCAATTGTTATTATTATGATTATTATTTGTATAATGCGGCGGTTGTGAAGATTGTTGAGTTACTAGAGTTACTACTGTTTGAAATCATGAATTGATCAATGTTAGATTGACATTATTACAAAACCTGGAAGCATAGTGGACGGCCGTGAATGTATTTCTCCGTGTTCTAGTGGGAAGTCGTGACCAAAGATAATGTGTATGAGATTGCGCTAACCTGTGAATTAATTGATCGAAGTTAGACACTAACACCATTAGTTAGTTACTGGCTCAGTAGTGCAGAGGTTAAGTGTTCGCGAGCTAGACCGAAGCTCCTGGGTTTGGATCCCGCGAGGCGCGGGAGTCGTGGCTGTACAGTGGTGATGAGTCACACACCATGACGAAATGGCCGTCCAGTGCTCCAAGGTTTCTAATGGTGGTGGTCTAACATGGATCGATTCATGATTTCAAAAATTATTATTATTATCATTGTAATCATCCTGGTCAGTGATATCTTATGGTGTCTGTGTAAGATTAATCTGCGACTAATTAGTAGGAACAATCATATCAGTAGCAGCTGAAGTAGTATTAGTAGTAGGACTTGCGATTTGAAGTGAATTAGTATTCACTCTCTTTTACTTAAGTCATACAATAAGCTCTGTGTTCAGTTACATTCATGTACATTCTAGTCGCCATAATACACCAGTTTCATAAATCAAAGCTTTCAATGATTCGTCTTTGTCTCGTTCATTTTACTGCTTATATATATAAAGTAGTTGGAGAAATCGCGAAAAGTTTCAGTCACTCAGCTAGTTGAATTTGAATTGTTGTTTTATTCTGGAATTGATTGTTTCAACTAAGAGGTTGAATTTTTCAAAAATATTTCGGTTAACCTAGTGCATATCAGTAAAGAGTGTTTCTAGTTCCGGTATTTATGTTGTCGGTTGGATTAATTGGCCGCTTTATTCCATAGTATCGTCAGTTAGCTATAATGATAACGAGCAGTACGTTTACGTACGCATATATTACAAGTTTAACAGCTAAATAAACTTAACAGCGTATCTAAACAGTAGATGTCTCGGGTAGATTTTCGTCTTATGTTAATAGCAGTTTTAGATATCATAGAAGATTTCTGTTAATGTGAGACATAGCAGTGGTCAATTGTAACAACGCCAATAGTGATACTCAAAACGTTTAAAGTGATATTCACTTGCCACATTCCCATCAGTTGGATTGGAATTAGAAATATTGGTCACTAGTTGCAGCTGTAGTAGTCTAAAGCTTAAATGCCTACTCTAAGACGAAAACTTAAAATATATATTAAATTGTTCCTAGATACTTGATCGTTAGTATCATTCACTCAATAGCCTTTATTCTCTGTTGGCTCATTTTTTTCAGAATCTTAATCTACCATTTGCGTAATTGCTCTTTCTGTTATGAAAATAGTTTGTATTTTTTGACCCCAATCGGTACCATTCAGCGTTACCGAGTCTGGCTAGCTGTTTCGTTATAGTACACGATTCTTCAGTGGTACTCGAAGCATGTGAAACCCTGAACTTACAGGTTTCACATTGAATACAACCATCTAAATCATAGAATCGGGGTTTTATCATACCGCAACAATATCGTCTTTTAATTTCGTATTCATAATAGTTAAGGGCTTGAAATTGAACATCAAAATCAGTTAACACTAAAAACATATTTTAAACAAAAGCCTAAGTCTTTCAAACTTTTCATCGAGGAGTAAACCTAGTTGATCATCAGGTTTTTTTTAGTCGTACTTCGAAAACAACGCCTTCTTAACTACACTACGTCTAAGCATACATTAAATGAGCATAATCATCTATCTCACTGTTATTAGATAGATCAATGATTCAATTGTCAATCGTCACTCTACAAAATCGACCAATCAAACTACAGGTAAAACTCCATTTTCAAATTTGTTATCTTGTAATCAATCTGTCGATAGCGAGAAATTGATTTGCATTTTATAAAAATCAAGGGCATTGAATTGTCTGCAAATCAGTTTACAAAAATTACTTTTCATCTTCTGAATTATTCATTTCTTATGCCAATTCATAAATGATTCATTTATTATTATTATGATGATGATGATTATATTTTTTTATTGGGCGTTTTCTAGCAATAATGTAAAACTAGATAATTTAGTTCAAATTGAACATTTAAAAATTCTACTCTTTTTTCATTATTATTATTATTATGAGAATCAATATAATTGTAGTTGGCTCTATGCAAGAGGAGGAGGATGTTTAAAATTTGAAAAAAATTAGCGCTGTAATTAATTATCTTTGTTTTTGATAAGCGCTGGTAATTAGTACAGCAATTATACAATCTGTATCTTTTTAATGTGTATAAATATACCTATATATATATATTGCAAAAGTAATGCTTATCACGTATCTCAAGTATGGCAGGATTGATTAGGTTACATTATAACCCGAACGAAGCTGCTACCTTGACGTGGTGGTCGGGCTTGCCTATCGTGATGATCCGACGGAGCTATATTGGCTGGAACATATGTTCCTGAAGGTTCTACCATGCCAGGCAGGTTGATTGGTGAACGATGAGACTAAACGCAGCGACTTAAGGTCTGAGGGCGAAGTCGTACTGCTGACTGACTGCAGAGAGGTGTGACAGCAGTAAGGTGTTTAAAAAGAGCGGACATAATACTCTAAAAACCTTTGATAAATAGGCCATGCGTGACCGGCCTCAAGCAGTTTTCCTTTGAACTCTGCGGTCACGCTCTCAGGTCGTTAAGGCAAACGCCAATCTACTTTCTTTCTCAGGTTCCTCAAGAAACGACCTTCCACGGTGTGGGCAGCCGGCAAGTGACAATCGCCCTCATACACGTAACATTGTGGATTAAGTGGTGTTCGAGTTGTTTAAATATTTTGCACGAGTGAATGAATGTTGGATCGATGATTTCCAGGCATTGGCTTTATTCATGTAGTTGCAATGGAGTTTCGTTTGGTTTAAGGTTGTACAGCTTCCATTAATTGAGTGAACAACTACATCATTAGCACAAACTTCAGGAAAAGAGAAGTGAAGTATGCCGGTTTCGCCATATGTGCGTTGTACCCTCGTTTTTGATTGGTAGTTGTTGTTAACCTTTAACCTGTCGTCGTTATCTAGTTCTTGATTTTGATTGGTTGATAAGTTGGGTTGATTTCGATAATAATTTTGTCTAGTTTTTAATGAAGCACCATATCATTTTATGCGATGATTCTTTGCTGAAATGTGAATCATCATTTAGATTTGAGGAAATCAATGTCTTAATTCCAAATGATGTCCAATAAATTGCTAGCTAGATAGGCAGAAAACATGTTAGTAAACTTGTTTATTGTATAATGTCATGTGCTTTCATTTCCGAAAATGATTTTAAGTGATGACATTTCAAAACTCAATGATTAACATTACTATTAAAGAAATTCCAATCACAAATTTCTTACGAACTAAAATTAGAGGTATTAATGCTCACGTGATGCGAAGTTTGTTTGATGAGTTTGGAGTCAGTAATTATTAGCAAATAATTCATGCAGAGACTCAATCGTTTTCAGGGTTTGCTTTGACTTCCAGGATTAAATAGACTATTCTTCCTAACCTAGGTAATTTTTTAACTATTTACGGTCTAAATTCATTATTTTTGGTGAATAAAATTGATGGGGCCAGACATTACACATAGATTTACATGGTCAATGCTTTTTCTGAGGTTTACAGTTTGTTCTTCAGTTTTCATGTTGAATTGCATCCTCCATTGAAATCGTGAGACTACCATTAGAAACCTAGAGGTACCAGATATTGTTCCGTTTAGGTATGAGGTCTGTCCGCAGTACGCTTCCACGACTCCTGCCACTCGCACAAATTGAACTTAGGACCGTAAGTCTTGCGCGCGGACTCTTACCCTCTGCGCCATCATCCAGCGGTGGTAGTGTCTAACTTCTATCAGTGCAACGTGTTTCGCAACCTCATCCACTGACTACTTCACATTCGTATAGGGTTGAACTCCACTGATTACGACTTCTCAAAAAAGCTCCGAGAAT